AAACTATTCAAAAGTATTTAAAAGTATTACTTAAATTTTGCCAGTTAAATATGAGTCGGTAGCAAATGCAAATTAACCTTAACCAAAAACAAGGGGAATAACTTCCCCAGGGGTCAAGTGAGTCGACCGGCTGTAAACTTCCCCAGGGGTCAAGTGAGTCGACCAGCCGTAAACTTCCTCAGGGGTCAAGTGAGTTGCCACAATAAAATTGTTCTCATCAGTTCTTATATTCGTACACAGACAAAGAACACAGGCGCAAAAGAACAATTGTGTTTATAGCTGAATATATTAAAAAAGAATTACAAAATACACAGTGTTACCCACAAAGGATGAGACTTCAAAGACGACAGTGAATTCATACTATCTTTGTCTTTATACAGTCATGATTCCCTGCAAATGTAACCTTGTTTCTCTCTTTGCAAAATCAAAAATAAACCATTAAAATGGTATGGTGGTAGGCGACTGTATCAAAATAATAAAGACAACTTTTGATTTCAGTTTTGATTTATATTAAGCTTTTTAACAGCACAAATACACAAAAACATTGAAACAAAGAGGAGTTGTCAATTTAACAATCTTCTTTTTATTACTTTTAAACTTGTATATAGTTCGTAAAAAGCTTGTACACAATTAAAACTTAAATTAAAAAAGTAGTCTTCTTGTACACAATAAAAAGTTAAATAAAATGTCGTCTTCTTTATATTGAACTGGTATATAGTTCGAAAAAATGTCGTCTTCTTTATATTGAACTGGTATATAGTCTGAAAAAATGTCGTCTTCTTTATATTGAACTGGTATATAGTTCGAAAAAATGTCGTCTTCTTTATATTGAACTGGTATATAGTTCGAAAAAATGTCGTCTCTTTATATTGAACTGGTATATACTATATAGTTCGAAAAAACCTTGTACATAATTAAATCTTAAATAATAAAGTCGTCTTTTTTATATTGCTATAATCGCCTGCCAACGTATGTTTTAGACAGAAGACCTAATTTGAACTTGTTATTGTCATATTTTAATAGTTATCGGTTTTCTTTGCAGTCTCATCTTTTGTGGATAACCCTGTATATTACGCAATATTTATATGATATCAGTTGAAAATATTTTGATATTTTTTGTTCTTCTTTTTCTTCTTGTTTACATCTTTCAATCATATTTCGGCTAATTTTCAGAAAAACGAAAAGATTTTTTTGGATAACTGCACCCCTTACCCCTTCTACAAAATGGAGAGGAATCTTCCACAGCAGAACAGGGTGTTAAGGATGGTGGATACACAAGCACAAATAAGCTAATAAAGTTTCAGTTTTTTTTTTAAAGAGTTCCATATATAATCATTTAATTAAAAAAACTAAATATCTGCAACATTCCATTATCAGAAAGTGAAGAATACGACATTTGATGAATTCTTTCGATGTATTCGTTATTAAAGGTTTCACTGTATGTTAAGTTAAATTAAATTTTAGCACAAATACGAATCAAGTACTAAAAATTATGTGACTTTTATAAAGAATAGTAACTAACTGACACTAGAATTATCAGACAAACAGACAATGAATGAGAATGAATACCAGACAAAGCAATCTAAAATCTTAATTAAAACTTTTACAAATCTTTTAATCTACCTAGAGAATAATCCGCCAAACAAAACTCTAGAAAATGTTTCAGATTTTCAAGTATTTAAAACACTATTTTTATTAATAAAGAAGTATTACAAAGATATTTTTCTTCCTTTAGGGGGAACTAAAAGGTTCAGAGCAAATGCTTAATGATACATAGCTATTTTTCGTAAATTACGATTCTAACTTTTTTCCCGATAAAAGACGACCCACTAAACTTAGAATCTCAAACCCAAACTAAAACATACTCGTGACTCTTCCGAGTTCCCCTATCAAAATTGGAGGCAAATCGGTCCAGGGGTTCCTGAGCTATGATTGGACAAACAAACAAACAGACATGAGACAAACAGAGATTACAACTTTATGTATAGATTACTCTTTGAAAACCTCTAAACTTTTTAAACATCACTTCAATTGAAATAAAAAAGTAGATTTTGGACATTTTTCAGTTTTTTGTGTCGCAAGGCCCAGTGGGTGCAAAAAAGTTGAGTCATTATCTTTCTGATATGGTTTGCATTTATGTTTTATAAAAAAGGATCCTTTAAAAATATATTCGTCAATATTTTTTTTAAATCTTACATTTTTTATTTACATTTGACAAATTTGTTTATTTACATCATTTGCTAAAAAAAAATTTGCCTTTTTAAATTGTTTTCTAAATAAACCCTGATCCGATTAATTCATGGTCTTTATAAATCATTTTTAAAGGGACCGTTCACTTATTTGGGTAATTTTGGGGTACACTAAATAGCTCATAAGCTATTGATTAGTAAAATGCTGAAAAGAACGCGGCAAGAAAAATTAAAGGTTGCGCGCATACGGGAACGGGATTGTAAATTATAAATGGGTAGTTGACAATACATTAGGCAACTGATTGAGGGGTGTCATCATCCGAGGGGGTAGGGGGGGTTGATTCTAGGATTTTCGACCTTTCTGGCAATAACAGATATTGGTTGGAGAACTGACAGAAGCTTTGTATGTGTGGAGAGAATCGACTAGAGAGTTGGGTTCTCCCATCCCGCTCCGAAACTTTTAAAAATAAACTATTTCGGATTACTCACAAATGCATCATTGCATGTAAGATGTATATTTTATTTACATCGAATGTGTAGTTAAATCTACGAACCGAAACTGCGTAATTGTTAATTGATTGTCGTAGAGAACGTCGTCTTTGTATATACATTTTACACGTTTTAATACAAAAAACGTAAATTTATTAAATATCAAAAGTTTTCATATTTTAGTATATACTAGCGAATACATAACGGCATTCAAATATGATAAATTTTTTTGGGTCCCTTTTTCTACTATATTAGACATATAGTATAAAAAGGGACCGTCCCTTTGCGCTCGAATTCTGAACAAAAATCGGCTTTTTGTTCGGCCCCAGAAAAGAAAGACTAATACCAATTAGCTAATAGGCTATTTAGTTTACCATAAAATCACCCAAATAAGTGAACGGTCCATTTAAATCTCATGTATAACTTATAAGTCTCATTAATGAAACTAATTTTCAACAGAAAACTTATTTTTCTGTTTCCTAGGAAATATTTTGAGATTAATTAAGAAATTGTAAACAGAGTTTTCTAGAAAAATACAAAAAATGTAACTTTTTTGAGATGTACTTTTACGCATTTTTCCTCTCCTCCCCCTCTCCCACTCCTCGCTGCGAAATTCCGTTGCTTTTAAATAATTCACATTTATAATTTCTATGATTGATCGTAATAAAAAATAAACAAATAAAGATTTTATTGCCAATCTATATTTTGCTTGTCTGGGTGTCTGTCTGTTTGTTTGTATCCAATGAATGTCAACTAAATTCGATTTTCATTAAATTCTAAAATCCGCGAAATTTTTTAATGAAATCCGCGAATTTTTTTGTCTGTTTTACAATGTAAACAAACAAAGAGAAAATGTTTCACAATTGAAATAGAAAATGGGCGCAAAGTGCCCTAAAAGCCTAGTTGATATAAAAAAACAGAATTATTCTGTAGTGGATATTTATAATTCTATTTTTCCACATAAGTAAATCTATAACAAGAAAAAGTGATTTAAATTTGTTAATGTCAAATACGTAAGCTCAAAGCTCACCATATGTAAAATGTATGTAACTTGCCCTACAAAAATGCAACTGTAAAACTGTAAAAAAGGACATGAACACTCGCAATCAAATCGTCTAATCAACAAATCATTTTAACCTTAGGGTATAACCCTATGATATTTTAAACTTAACTTTTACATCTAACAAATACCAAAAGTCTACGACATCAGATTGCAAAGATATAGTGATTAGAAAATTAGAATTTGTGGCGAGTGTTCAGTTTCTCTGTCAAGATTGTTAGTTGATGAATTTATCAGCTTTCTCAGATAACGTTTGTGGTTAAAATCAGCAAATCATTTTTGATTATTAATTATGCTTTTAACATAATATTATCCTCTAGTATAATTTTCTTGTTTTTAGATAAAAAGTACGTTCACATGGTGCTCATTGAAATTTGTCACATTTTCTGACATTAAAAAAAATTTTCACGTTTTTGAAAAAAAAGTTTAAATCTAAGTTCACTTTTTAACTTTTTTAAACGGTTCTTTATTCTTTTTCTGAATAATCATTTTAAATATCGCTAACGGTGCCCTTAAGAATCCTTGAAATTGTATTTATTTCTCAAGTTGAATATTGAATCATATGATTTGATGGTGTGACGATATAGTTCTTTAGTCTAGTTAAACATGAGGGAAAATATTCAAACATTTTTAGTCTTTCAACTATTTCAAGATATTTCTAGTTAGTGGCTTCATATATCAGTGCTCTTTATAATAATATGAGAAATTTATACATCAATGTTTAATGTTTTGATGATTATTTTGTTTGATTTTTAAAAAGTTTGTTTTCCATATTTGTTTAATTCTTTTTCGATGTTGAAATACGATTTAAAAATATAAATTTATAAAATATAATGCTAGCAAAGAAAATTGTTTACCTATTTGTAAATCAGAAAAAAATTAAAATTACAAAACATTTATTTTTTTTACTTATATTTTCTGCAATATGATTTGTTTAAACTCTCAATGGATTGCACATGTGATACGCTAGCATTATAGTGTAAACTCATGAATTCAAAAATGTCCTACTCAGGTTTTTTAAAGATTTAAAATTTCTGAGACTTTTATTATATGAACATTAATTTTTCTCAAATATTAAATATCTTGCAAACAAAGTCATCAACGATTACAAAAATTTGAAAAAATTAAATTTTAAATTATCAATGCTTCCGCAAAAATAACTTAATTATCTGATGATGTATATAAATATATTTTTAAACCTTAAGAAAAGCTTAACCTCAGATCTATGATTTATGATGTATTAAAATAAATGAAAATTCAGAGCTAAAAAAATGACAGAGGACAAAGAGAGGCTGATTGCAACCTCAGAAGTCAAGGTTTACAGGTATCTGCAGAGAAGAAAACTTTGTTGTGGATATTTTTAATCGTGAAGGCGTGATCTCAATATCCAATGTGGACACATTCAAATTTGAGGATGAATACTTGATCCCTTCATTTAAGTTATCCCTGCAGGGTATGCCAGGATATCAAAGAAGAACTAATTTAACCCGTAGGTAGCGTACGTAAGATGGAGATCATTGCTTAATCACTTTGTCAGAACTTTGTCTTGTGAATCTTGGGATCAAGCATTGATCTCCATATTATTCATAATTACAGATTAATTTAATTACTCTTTGATATTGTGTGAAGATCATAACATGCTGGGATAACTTTATTTGAGGGATCAAGAATTAATCATCAATTCAAAAATGCTCACTTTAGCTATCAAGATCAAGAGTTCAATACTAACAGTTATTCACACAAAGGTTCAGATCTCTGTTCCTTTTAAAAATATAAACTCTAACTCCAAAGTGGTGAAATTTAAATAATCTATAAAAAGTGTATTGAACAAAGTAAAAAAATTAATATTAATTTTTGGCGAAGATAACAAGAAAATCATCTATTTGCAGAAGAAGATGGTATATCCTAGCAGTGTTCTCTCTTCTGGCATTGTACCAATGTACTGTATGGAACACATGGGGACCAATTGTCAACACGGTTGAGGTATAATTATTAAACTAATTGATAATCAAAGGAAGACCTGATAAATTCAATAATAATGTATAAGTCTTTTGAGTTTTAAAATAGGCACCAAGAAATTCGTTTTTTACTCTTTTACACTTAACATATAAATTTTTCACTTGATAATGTTTAGCTTGTTTTTCCATCCTGGTCTGACTCAACTGTATCACTAATGGCAAACTGGGGACCCATCTCCTTCTTAGTCTTCCTGCTTCCAACCCTGTATATTTCAGAGCTAAATCTCAGGTGAGACTTTTTGAGATATGTATATATTTCAAAACTAAATTTGCTGGCTCTTTTTCTTATTAATTACCTGCACTGTTTGAAAAAAACTTAATTTTTTTATCCGTTGACTTTTAATTGACCCATACAGCTTATTAGATGCCTTTGGGACTGTAGAGGACAGTCTGAGGTTACTTAACTGAATCACCAAAGTGACTTGACATAAATACATCCAGAGACCAAATTTAATGAATTTGAGCTATGTCACTGGTTAAAATTTAAAACATGAACTTAAAGTCAAAAAATCTGGAAGGTTTGGAATTAGTGATACAAATTTAAACCGCCAGTAGGCAGTTCAGCGGCTCCTCAAATCCTGTGATCTTTTGTTTAGACTTGCCATAGTGTTAAGCAGTGGACTGGTCTTTTTCGGGTCAGGAGTTAGGTGTATGTTTGTGCTCTTCCCCGGGTTATCTGAACCTGTGTTTACAGGCCTTTGTCACTTGGGCGCTATTTTAAACGGGATTCCAGGCATTGTTGTTACATCAATACCTCCTGCCATTTCTGCAACTTGGTTTCCACCAGAGGTAAAACTAAAGTGAAAATGAAAAATAAAATTATAGAAAAAAATGCAATTGCAGGAAAGAGTTACTGCAACATCTATCAGCCAGATGTTAAACAACATAGGGACAGCTGTTTCATTTATCATGGCAACTGTGATTGTGCCAGAAACACCAAGTAGTAGTTCTGGAAGTGATGGTTCTAACTCTTCATGTCATACGCAGGTACAGAAAACCAAGCTGTAGTTCTGGAAGTGATGGTTTAACTCTTCATGTCATCGCAGGTACAGAAAACCAAGCAGTAGTTATGGGAGTGATGGTTCTAACTCTTCATGTCATAAGCAGGTATAGAAACTTGGCAACCAGAAGTTTGAGTGAGGAAAGTCTGTCAATCTACAGCTTCAGCAAGCTGTTCCTGTCAAATAGATTGACACATACAATAGGTGACAAAGTGATTTAGAACACATTGTACATGTCACTTTTGGTGTCAAATGGGACACACATCCAATAAGTCTTGTAAGGAATATTGAATTAAACAGTACATAAAACGTTGCAAAGAATGCAGAAAACTGCTTTAATTTCACAATTTTAAGAGTTGCAGCTTTCTTTCGAAAAGAATATTATTATTTTCCTCATATTTTTAGGGTGTGTCAAGCGATTTGACTCTAACAGATTTAGAAGTGAATACTATAAAGAAGGATGTTGAACACTACTTATTGATATTAATGGTTCCAGCTGCGGTTATCTTTAGGGAACAACTAAAGGTTATCTTATAAGAAAACAACTGCTTTAATTTCACAATTTTAAGAGTTACAGCTTTCTTTCGAAAAGAATATTATTATTTTCCTCATATTTTAGGGTGTGTCAAGCGATTTGACTCTAACAGATTTAGAAGTGAATACTATAAAGAAGGATGTTGAACACTACCTATTGATTTTAATGGTTCCAGCTGCGGTTATCTTTAGGGAACAACTAAAGGTTATCTTATAAGAAAACAAATGCTGTACAAGCCATAAAAATAGTTTGGCAAACAACTTTGGAAAACAGTAATTTTTGCAAATACATTGATAACCTATTCTGTGATACAGCTTCTCCATCATTTATTTTCCCTGTAAGCCACCACAACCTCCCAGTCTGAGTTCAACTCATCAACGTCTATCTTTTGTGTCCGGTGTGTGGGAACTGGTTAAAACACCGGCAGCTTGGATAATTGCATTAGTCTGGGCTATACCTCAGGTAGGTTGAGTAAGTTTAAAGTATCTTTCCTATGATTGCTGAGAAAAATTTTACAAATTAAATAAAAAAGTTTTTCCTCTTTAAGGCAATCTGGAACAATTGGTGTGCAATGATGGTCATAAGTCTAACTAAGGTAAAATTTTTATTTCATTTTATACTTTGAAACAAATATGACATTTATGCAGATCGGAGAAGGAGATGAATGCCTGACAGAGAAGTGGGTCAATATACTTGGTATTGTTGCAATCCTTGTTGGAACAGTCATTGCTATTTTGGTAAAATCATATTCTACACTGCATGCTTGGATCACAAAGATGTTTTTGATTACTCTAATAAAGCTTGACAAGCTTACTCAGAGTTTTATAAAATTTACTTCACAGGTTGGAATGTTGACAGACAAAATCAAGGGCTTCATGAAAGTAACTATTTTTGCTTTGCTAACAATAGGTAAAAAAAGTTGTCGTCACAAACTCTTCCATTTTCATATTGTTTACGTTTAGGCGGAATACTGTTTACTCTTCTGTCTCTTGTCTCCATTCAGGCCATTGTTTTACCAACAATGCAATCACTAAAGATCACTGTGTACTCCCTTCTCCTACTTGGGAACAGCATGGTGGTCTCCACCTCCCCTCTCTGTATGGAGTTTGCTGTGGAGAAACTATATCCAGTACCTGAGGTGATAAAAAAGCAGTGCTTAGGATCATATTCATTTTTATGCAGAACATATCTGGATCTGGATGCGCCCCCTAAAAAAATAATGGATCCAGATCAAGAAAGCCAAAAATGTTGTGGATTTAACAGATCTGGATCCAGACCCTGATTCTAAGCATTGAACAAAAAGATTCTATTGTAAGGCATTTAGATGATCAATTTTATTTACAAATGTACTATAAAATGTACAAGTGTACTATAAAATGCTCAATACTATTTTGATCCCAGTAAGTTTTTCAACTAAAACAGCACCCCTGCTAAATGGTCCCTTTTGGTTGGTCTATAGCTGAATGCTTAAGTATTAGGCCAGTATGATCAATGTAAAAGTAATCATTGACATCTTATTATATGTGGATATTTTAGGGAATCGTTGGTGGTTGGTTGAATATTTGGTACAACATCATCAGTGTTATATTCCTCTGCATCTTCAATATTCCTGGAGTTGGTACTGAATGGTTAAATTATGTTCTTCCTTTCTCTTGCTTTTCAGTTCTTCCACTTTTACTACTTGTTAAGGTGAGGAATACTTTGCAACTAGAGTTGTTAATCGTTTTTTGCAAACAATTGTTAAACAATTGTTAAACGATCGTTTTTTGTTTTGTTTTCAAAAACGATTGTTTCGTTTTCGGATAAAACTATCGTTTTTAAAAACGACCCACTCGTTTTGAACTTTTAGAAAATGAATAGCGAGAGTTTTTGAACCCGAATGTTTTTATTAAAACGATTTGCGACCTTTTTTATACGATCGTTAAAGAAGGTTTGTCGTTAACGATCCTTAACGCATGTATTATGTTCTTCCTTTCTCTTGCTTTTCAGTTCTTCCACTTTTATTACTTGTTAAGGTGAGGAATACTTTGCAGCTACAGTTGTTAATCGTTTTTGTAAACGATTGTTAAAGGATCGTTAAACGATCGTTTTTTGTTTCGTTTTCAAAAACGATCACTTCGTTTTCAGAAAAAAACGATCGTTATTAAAAACGACCCACTCGTTTTGAACTTTTAGAAAATGAATAGCAATCGTTTTTGATCATTTTTATTATTATTGTTTTTTCCAAAAAACTGAAACATTAACATCCCTATTTGCAGCATCCTGAATCCTGATCAATAATTGCTTAAAGATTTCATTTGCTGGAACACTGATGTAGCAAGATTTTGCGTTCAATTTTGTTAGAAAAAAATGATCATTTATCAAAATTCAAAGAATCAAGGTACTTAGTTGAATTTCGCTGCGATGCTCCATCAAATGTTTTCCTATACTAATGAAAAGGATGCCCGTTTAACCAATTTTATAGACATGATGGTTGAGAAATTATTTATGCTCAAAAAGAGATTTAAAGGCAACATTGTGATTGGACATTCTCCCTTTGCATGGAAGGTCACCTTTACATGGAAGGTCATTCAACATTTCTGAAATATTTACTTTAATTTAAATTAATGACATATGATCTGTGGCCTTCAAAGAGATCAAAAATTATAAAGATTATCTCTTTCAATCTGTTGTTAAATAGGAGGAATATAGAAGAAGAGGTGTAGATGAGGGTATGGACGAGGTAGATACTGGAAGACAAGAACCTGGAATCCAAGTGATCAGCACAGAAGCTCTCAGTCAAACATTAATTCTTTAAAGAACTCAGATGTATTAAGCAATAGGACTAAAATTAAGAAAGTCAGCAAGCAAATCCTCTACAACATAGTATAAAATGAAGAAGTTAAATATATGTAACAGACAAAATATATTGATTCAAAGATAAATACTATATATAGATATTGTAATCTGTGTTTAAAATAATAAGTGTTGTTTATTTTGAACCAGCTTTGTTCTTTGGTTTAACCTCAAAATAATTGTTGAGACACAATCAATCTTTTAGCAGGAAAAACTAAGATATCTCATTCCTCCATGATCAGCTAAAAATTTAGAGATAAAATTGTCAATCAAACATTCCACTCTTTAGGTTGAGGGGCATTTTAAATTACATCAATACAGCTCCTTTAAGTCACAAATTAGTTACAACAGCATGTAGCAAATACCTACTCCATAACAATTTACTCAAGACATATCTATCCAGGTCTACTCCGTACCAAGATCAGAACGGACTAACTTATCATGTTCTAAAGGCCACTCAGCCAATTTCTCAACCAGGATTAACTCCCAGGCTCTAAATGACACAAAGGCAAAATTCTCAACCAGGATTAACTCCATGGTTCCATAGGACACACAGCCCAAATCTCAACCAGGCTTAAATCCCTGGTTCTGAAGGACACACAGCCCAATGAAATTGCTACACAGGATATTTCTCAACTTGTATAATTCAACAAGTACCAAAGCTTTCTTTCAAGCTAACTTGGATAACATAATCAAAAGTCTCATTCAACAAACTTTATTCAATAGCTTCAGTTACAAAGTTAACAGGAATTTACGTAATTCAATTCCTACAATGTTATTAATATCACATGATTAAGAACATTGTATTACATATTTATCGCACAGGTAGAGTTTATTTTACATATTCAATGGATTAAATAGAATAGATGTAACGAAGTTGATCTATGTCTGACCATATTTTACAGCGTAATTTAAGTATGTCGCATGATTTGAGCTAATAATGTTAAGTATTTGAATGAAATGCATTTCAATGAATAATCTCCTTATGTCCAAGTTTAAAACATTAAATTATTTAGCAATGTACAACGTACTGCAATTTCACAGAATAACATTTTTCCCACTTTCTGCTACAGGCAGGGATAGAATATGGATGATCAAGTGCTATATTTTCTTCCAATACTTTATGAAGTTAAGTTGAGTTCTAGGACACTGGTTTATTTCAAGAACCGGGTCGACATCTAACCATCCAGAGCGAGCTGTACAGTACACTTACAGATTATACCAGGGAAATCTGGACGGTACATTACTAAATGCACTGGCCCCCTGTAGGGAAATTGAAGTGATATGACTGGGTGGTTGGCTGTCTAATCCAATAAACTGATGAGAGAGAGTGAACTTGGTTAAAAATGTTAATTGTCTAAAGTTTGGAACTGTTTAACTTGGTGAATAGTTGCAGAGGATTAAACCCTCAATTATGTTTATTGAGGAAACTTCTAGAATAAAGATGAAATAGTTGGAACTTTTCTTTTAAATAGTTTGTAAATGTTTATTCAGCAAAATACAGAGAATTTGGCCGGGGCTCACAGGGTGTACAAGAATATGTATAGGATGAATCAAAAAAAAAATAATTTACAAAATATTCTCCCCACCTCAAAATAAAATTGATTACATGTGGGATTTCTCCGATGTAACCGTAAAAATTCTATTTTCTCAAGCATGTGCCAAAAATTAAACTAATTGAACTACAAAATCTAATCCGAATATACATGGTATAAAGTAAAATTAACAAATGTCCCCCCCCTCTCTCTCCCCAAACTCCTTCCTACTTCGAAATAGGTATTTATGCGGAATTACTGCTACATTTTTTTTTACATTTTACATTCAAGAGTCAAAAACGGCGAAAATAAAATGGCTTTAAAAAAGTAGCTGTCTTTGAAAATATTAAATATTTTATTCTGAATGATTTCAACTTTAGTATTATCCCCCTGCGTCCTAAAAGTTTCCCCATCTCTCTGTATAAAGTATAATTACCCCCCTCCCCCCTGGGGCTATATCTTGTGTATGTGTGACGAACAGTTTTATTTCCTAGAAAATCTAAATCTAAATATTGCGAGGATAAAATTTGAATAATCTTTTTAAGCTTTGGCAGTATTTATGTTAACAGGAGATAAAGGTTTCCCATGCATAGATAATCAGGTTTCACTAGCTCATCATACCACAGGGTGAACACAAAATAAAAACATTGCACTTATTATCTTACCGTGTGTCCAAAATATATAAGTCTTTGCTTATACAGGGTGAACCAAGAGTTCTGATGAAAACTAATTGCTTATTATTCTTACAGACTATTGGTGTCCCGGAAATATTTAGGCCATTGCTTTATCATCATTCTTTCAAATTATATAGAATTAACCGGTAGGCTTTATTTTATTATTTGTCCAGGGTGTCATCAGAATCAGATTCACTAAAGTAATACCCGATGAATTATTACCATAGAGAATAAAATATATAGAGAGGAATTTAATGGAAAAAATTGTAAAACGGCCATTTTGTTGCACTGTTTCCATACTGCAGGTGTACTTCACATATTTATGCTATATAACCTTTTGGGCCCTAGAATATCATTATATAGAAAATCTAATATTATTGTTAAAAGAAAACCAAATTATGAAATAGGCTGGTTTCATAATTGACCAATGATCATTTCACATAGACTCTATGCCTTTNTGTCCAAAATATATAAGTCTTTGCTTATACAGGGTGAACCAAGAGTTCTTATGAAAACTAATTGCTTATCATTCTTACAGACTATTGGTGTCCCGGAAATATTTAGGCCATTGCTTCATCATAATTCTTTCAAATTATATACAATTAACCGGTAGGGTTTATATTATTATTTGTACAGGGTGTCATCAGATTCACTAAAATGTTACCAGATGAATTATTACACTTTTTTACTTAACATTTTTTTTAGTTGTAACTTAGATTTCTTTCTTCAAAATATTTGTGTTCACATAAAGATTTTTTTCGAGACATGGCAAAAGGAATGTTTGAAACGCCTTTTTGAAATGTATAATTTCTGGAGGATTTTCACGATTTTTGATATTTGCATTTTATTTCCAAATTTAGATTAAAATCAAATCTTCAATATCAAGAATTAAGAGAAGCAGAAAGACGGGGAGTGAAAGGGAAAGAAAGGGAGTGATGGAGAGTAGAAGGATAAGAGAGGGGGTAGAGAGTAAAAGGAGGAAAATTAGACATTATAAAATATCAAAATTCAATAAAAGAGAAATATTATTCCGACGTATATTGATCTTGAACAGACGTGGATAAAGATAGATGAGTTGAGATGAATAGAATCAAAATGTATAAATATTGATGCAGGGTGTCCCGGAATAAAACCAAACACTAATCTATACAGGGTGTACCAGAAAAAAAAAAGAAAAAAATTCACAGAGGGTGTCTCAGAAAAACAAAATGCAATGCAAATATTCCAGTGCATTTACTTAGGGATCTACAGAATAGAAAGTTAAAGAATATAGTTATAATAATAAAAAACCAAAGAAATATTATTAAAGGGTGTGACCGGCAATGTATGAAAGTTGAACTGAGAATGTAGTATTGTGGAGATTTTTTTAGGATTCATTTGGGACATATAAAACCTTTTAATGATGTATAATTACTGAGTTTGGGTGGTTACGTTTTGAGAATTGATTTTTCCAAAATTATTAATTAACGACGACAAAAAAATGTAACAAAAATTCTACACTAATAAGTAATCTTATTTAGTTATATTTTACTGTAAAGTCTCATTGCAAACGAACTTTTTCTGTAGATTTCCTGGAATTTTTAATGAAAAGACGACATTTGAAGAATTTGATAAAATCTGCGAACAAATTGGTAAAGAATAAGAAATTCAATATAATGATGAAACATAAATAATTGATTCTATCATTAATGATTTATTGACAAATTTCTAATGAGAAATATGTTTCTAAACATCTAATTAGTTTACTTTAGAATTTTTGTTACAGTTTTGTTAACTTAAAAATGTCTTGAATGGCAAGACAATTGGAAGGTAAAATTTTTTTAACTTATTTCAATGAGACTGATCTCTCGCATCAGACTCTAAATTCCTTACTCTTCTATCTTTGCAACCTAATTCAATATAAATGAATATTAATAAATGTTTAATCCAATAGTTAAAATTTGAATTTTCAAAGGTTTTAACCATCAGGTTGCAAAAATACAGGGATTATTAAAGTTGAGTGTTAAGTTGCTTTGAACGGCAATGCAATTCACCAAATTAAAATATGCTCACGCTTTCTAAGAACTTTTTCATGATCCATACCCACAAATGAGTCTTTAGAGACGTTTGTACGCGTCTATACTGTCTATTTCCATATTTATTGTTCCCTGCAACTGTTCTCTTGTTTCTTTCGTTAAGCCATTAAAAGACTGTATTTAAGACTTAGTTCAAACTTATGATCATATTTTGAGTTTTAAGTCGTCTTTTAAGACTTATTTCTTGTCTGTAACACTGTTTCTAACATATAAAGTTCATTGAGGCCATGGTTGCCACGTTTTATGCTTTAACTTTCTTCAGATGTGTCTTTCCAATAAAGGAAATGAGTTTTTGCCACAAACTCTGTATTTGAATCCAGGTATCTTTGTAACCCGATGTTGTAAACCTTCTAAGTTTCATACTGTAATTTCTGTAAGAATAAATAATCTAAGTTTACAACTTTCATTGTTTACACTGTCAAGTTGTGAAGATGTAGTGATTTGAAAATTTGTGTTTGTAGCAAGTCTCAATTCTTATGAATTTATTAAATATCTTTTCCAATTTCTGAAAACAACAATAATGTAGTCCATTAGATGTAAAGATTTTACTAATTTAATATTATTCATCAAAACACCTAGAGTCCAGTTGAACCAGGGAAGTCTAAAAGGAAGATAAATAAAAAAAATTCTTTTTCAAAAAATGAAATAAATATATATACCATTGTTTGAAAGTGTAGGTGTCAGGGGATTATCAATGCCTGAACAAAAATAAGCCAAGAAATTAGCGAATTAAAGCAAATCAAGTTATTAATATATTTGAGATTTACTTACCACCCAGAGGTAAATTATCCACATAGTTTATGTCCTGAAATATAATTTTGAAAAAATAAAGTGTTAATGGTGATTTGATAAAGGTTATACCTTATTAGTTAAATGTGTTGATGCTACAATATGTCCAATAGTTCCAACTCGATGAAATATCATTCCAAAAACTGAAATATTGCGCATTTTTAGATTTTTACTGTGTGGAAAAAAAACAAAGCTTACCTTGAATAAAAAGAACAATTAAGAAGAACAAAATAAAAACAAAGTTAATCGGGTCCAAAGGCATATATTTAATACCAATATTACTGGAATTGGAACTAGTTACGTTCAATGGACTCGCAATCTCACACAAAACCCAATCAAGAGTAAATGCTGATGTGTCTACTGATGAAACTTGTAGCAGAAAGATTCCCACTGCCCAGGCTGCATTTAAGAATACAAAAAACAATCCAATTTCATTTTTCAGGTTTTCAAGATCTTTCTTTAGTTTTAGTTTCAGCTCTGTATTATCCTTCTCTGGTTTTAAATAGTTTTGGATGATATTCTGCAGATAGATTTCCTCATCTGATTCAAGACTGGAAAACTCTCCATCTAAAGATTGAATCCAATTGGATCCTGCATCAGTCTCATCGTGAACTTCAGATGTGTCTTCTATTGGGGCCTTGTTCAGGTTTTCAACAGCATTTTGCAAACTTGTAATTCTTTCTGATAACATTGTCTTTAGTTCAGATATCTCATCTGAAGGGTTAAGAATGTATCTGATTTTCTCAGCAAGAATATTAGTTGAACTTTCTTGTCTTTCTTCTCTGGTCCCCCAACTAACATCATCAAGGTTGAAGACACAGTAAAGAGGAAGCAACATGTACATGCAAGGAATAGTTAGGTAATAAACAACTCCGTACATGAGATATTTGATCTCCAAAGGATGAAGAAGGCCAACAGCAATGAAAGCCCCAGCAGTTAACTCCAAACTGAGAGTAGAAGGGGACCAGGGACATGAATCCCAAATATTGAAAAATAATCCAAATACAATAGCAATCATTCCAATACCATAGACCATACTTAGAACCTTGGCACAAAGTACTTGACTAGAGGGTGAAGCCAGTAATGATACAAGAATAAACAAAATTATTGGAATTAGATTCATAATGAAGGATCCCCAATATGAGATTTCAAATGTCAATTGAAAACCGCCAACCAGAAGGATGAATATGCTTCCAGGTCCTATGATGGTACCTGCAAGCATCAACAATTGGTAGAGAATGTGAAATATTGTAAGATTTCCATGTTTTAGAAGAGAATTCCATGATTTTATCAGTTCAAACAGGTTTGCAACAGTTGATGGTGTCCATCTTCTTCTTTGGTTATAGAACTCTGTGAATGTTTCGGGACATATGGTCATGGCATCACTTACAGCAGAGTACTCAATTCTCCATCCTCTTTTGATCAATAGGGTACATAGCCATCTATCTTCCCCCTGATCATGCTGAATGCAGTCAATAGCGGAAGTGGTTTCTTTAGAAAAATCAAGAACTGCTGGTCCAAGATGATCAACATGACTATTCACCATAGCACTTAACCTGTAAAGAGAAAAGCAACCTGGACTGCATAAAACATTTCCCAAAACATCTTCTGTTGTCTTCTGAAGCCAATGTCCAACAGCATATTCAAACTTCTGATACATTGATATAAGTCCATTTCCCACCGGATGAATCCTACCACAAACGGCTCCCATTCTGTCATCTTTTCTCATGAGATCGATCAATTTCACAATAGAGTCTGATTTGAATGTTACATCTCCATCAAGAGCTAGTATATATGTGTTTTGATCTAATATTTTATCAGACAGTAAATCTTTGTAGTCTGCACTTTCAAGGTGATTAATGACATCCTGTCCCAAAAACTGTAAAATGTAAAGAAGTTGACTCCACCTCTTTTTTATTTTGATCTTTGATTTGTCTTTGAGATGACAAACCAATGTGGTGTGGTTTTTTAAATTCCAATAAAGTTTTCCTCCATAGGGAGTAAGGAATTTCTCTAATAGAAGAATATTTCTATTTGCCAGCAGGGCTATTAGCTGACTTACAAATATATTAGGATTACCCAGATCATCAAATGCATTGTCAAAGAAAATGTGCATTTCAAAATTGAAATAATCTTCGTGTGATTTTGACAAAGTTTTTGTATAAGTGTCTATATCTTGAATGGAATCTATTAACTTTGACATTTCTGATTCTGTCTCATGCCACATTGTTGCACATCCAAGGACAGTTACATTCTTCAGATTTGGATTTACTTTTGTCTGTGTCTTCTTTTCATCATCCATTCTTCTGTTAAGTAGCAGTGATTGATCAATAAGTAAAGAATCATAAAACGGAGTATCAAAAATCAATTCTGCTTTAGCTAGCTTTAAAGATTTCTTTGTCCAAATATGACTTGAAATCCATGCTTGGGACAGGAAAGCTAAAATGTAAATCCAATTTTCAGCCATGAATTGGTAGAACGTGGTTTCACCTGAGCATGAGAAAAAAATTGCTGCTGGAATATAATCATTTAGATAGCAATTATTCTGTATGACATTATTACAAAGAACTATCAAAATTGGCACTACTATAAGAGGCGTAAATGTCATAGGCACAGCAAATCCCCAAAGACCCACTCTGGTTTCTAGTGCAAAGTATGCCAACTGGTATGCAACTAAAGTAGATACAATCTGAGTCAGAAGAACGATGAAAGGAAAAAAGAATCTTTCATCAATTTGAGTAATAACTGTCCAGTCAACAAATTCTTCAGAGTTAGGGGGATATTTAGATTCCAAAAATGTATCAGGGTTGGGACAGTTCTGAAAACTCTTTCTTTCTCCACATTCAACAATGGTTTGACTTTGACAACAGGTTCCCTCATTATAGCAAGAAAGACTGTTTGAGCTGCTAAAGTATTGAAAATCTCCAGGGCAGAGAGCATACTTCAATGTTGGGTATTCTTCTAAACATACCCTAACCCAAAACCCGGAGCAATCATTTATATCTGGATAAACCAGGTTAGGGACAAAGCCATCAGTCTCCTTTGCTGAAGTCATGCAAGTTGTCAGTGTTTCATTTATGAGTATTGCTGGTGGACGCCCAGGGGAAACTACAGTTTTAGCTGAATCTGCATATTTCCATTTAACAGATGTAAATAAATTGGAAACCTTTTCCACTGGGTTCATGGCTGAAGTCAAAGATAGAACAAATACTATTGTCAGGAAGACTTTCCAAACAGATACGATACAGTTGACAACATGCTGTTTTCGCTTGTGTAGGGACTGATCCCTAACGACTCTGAGAAAGTCAAAAAATCTTTGCATGATGATGGCATTGTTATAAGGAAGATAAGCTTCCCACCATCCAAAGGAGGTGAACAACAGTCCTACCAGCACGCTCCATCTTTGTGGATGTTGATCACTGTTCAGGACCCAGATAACAATGCTTAGTATTTGTATTGTAAGACATATTGCATCTAAAGTTTTGAATAAATAACTTGTATTTCTGCTGCTATGTTGCCTATCTGACAAACCTTTAAATAGTGAGGGTATAAAACATGAACTAGTAGTAACCATACTCATTGTTACAACAGACATTCCAGGTAGAGCAATAAAAAATAACACACATATCCCGATGATATGTATTGTTTGGAACATCAGGGGTACCAATAGGTGTTTAAAAGGAGGGATGTGAACATGCTGGGTAACAACAATAAACCCTGATTTTGCTATAGTTAGAAATTCAGGGAAAAGAAGAGCTATTGTTAAACTCCAGATCCATGCAGCACTTGCATCTTCCGTCTGGACTCTGTGCTGAAACTGATATAAAGAGTTTTAATAAAATGTTGAAATATTTGTACAGAGCTGTGAACTTTAATTCAAATATCTGATGTGGACACTTTTAATTTCTTGCTTAACCTTAAAAAGGCTGGGGGTCTGAATCTATGTATAGCCTGGGGGGGCGTTTGGCGCCCCCCCCCCTTGAAAAAGGCCTTAGAGAAAGAGAATAGGGTTGAAATGCATGTTCATAGACAAATTTTTCAAAGCCAGCTCATAGAAAAAAAAATTAGACCGATAACTTTAATAGTTTGGGCGCCAGGGAGGGTGGAAAAAAATGCCTAAAAAAAGGTTAGAAAAATGGAAAAAATATTTTTTGTTTTAAACAAATATCAAAGAGTGACATATGTTTCCAGGTGCATTTTTCAAGGGCTTTTTAAAAATATAGTTTTTAGATCTGTAGCTTTAGTAAAAAAAAGTTATGGGCTATGGATTTTTTCCATCCTGTTCCCTACCCTATAAATAAAAAAATGTTAACAAAAAATCCTTTATTCATTGAAAGTCACAAAATTTCACGGTGATAGTGTCAAAAATGAGAATGCCAGAAAAAAAAATTACAGTTGGAAAAGGTGGTTCCTCAGCCTGTTTAGGCCTAATCCACTCTTTTAATATAGTACAAAAAAATCCAAAAACCGTTCTTTTTCAAAATTAGAGAGTCCCTACCGTCTCTGTATGTTAATCTTAATTAAATGAGAGAACTCATATAAAATGGCGCGCAAAATTTAAATTTCCCGGCTTCTGATACTCCACTCTGATTGGTTGAATTTTACGCAATTTTCAGGACACAAACACAAGATTAGGTTAGTCTCGAGATTAGGAAAAAGAGAGGATCAAGCATTGATCTTGAAATCCACCATTCTAAAGTTTTCAGCTCTGTTTGAACAATTTGTGAAGGAAGACTGAAAAAGAAATATTTGAATAAAAAGTTTTTGCTTTGTTTGATTTTAATATTATTGAAAATGTGCTCAGAGCAGATAACTTTAAGTAAGGAGTAAGTAAAGTTTTGTTGTTTAAATCAACTTAGTTTATTTGGTAAGATTTGATAGAAAAGGAATTAATTCTTTGCCCAAACTTAAACATTCTAATCCCTACATCTTTGCAACCTGATGGGTTAAACCTTTGATATTTCAAACTTAAATCATTTGATCTATCAGAATTCATAGTTTTAAGGTCTACAAAATTAGGTAGCAAAGATATTGGGTTAAAAATTTCAGTGACATCTTATAATAAAGCTCTGATCGTTTTGTTATGATTATGGATGGTCATATTTCACTTACTTAAAAACCCACTTTGATGGTTTTGATAAAAATTAAAACAAGATAAATAAAAAAAAATTATTTTTTTCGAGTCTGATCATTTCTTAAATGAAAAAAAAGAATTAGATATTGTTTTTAAAGATTATAAACAAAATGATTGTTTTTTAGTTTAGCAAAAGTGAAAACTATCGTTTTAAAGAGAAAAAAACCGTTTTTGAAAAAGTAAATGGACAGAAGAAAACCATTCAAAAACTCTGACACCACAACCAGCTTTTTCAGACAGCCTTATCCTACCTTTTCACAGGTACTACCACCAGAAGTGCAGGATAGTTGTAGATGAGGATAGGAAGGAAACCTGATTTGAGAGACCAGGAAGAAAGTACTCGTCTTACTGCAAATCATATATCTTATTTTATGATGTATAGACCAATTAGGCGTACGGAAATCCCCAACAAACAATGCTAGGTTTTGACGAACGTAAGAAGCAGTATTCAATTTTAAGTGAAGTTGGTTTTATTTTTTATGATAATGCCACAATATTGTATATCAACGGCAATCTTAAGATACAGGGATACAGAGATTATGATAATGCCACAATATTGTATATCAACGGCAATCTTAAGCTGTATGTATTGCTAAAGTTTGTCAGTCATTCAGTCAGTTTGTTTTTAATCTTTGTGAAGAAACAATCTCAAGAACTGATGAGGGTCAACCCAGACCGAAATATATTTTCAATAAATGTGGAACTAACATCTACTTTTTTACTCTACAGAGGTTTGGTCAATCACCATCACCGAGTTTGTAAATGTATTGCTAAACTTTCTCACAAACATGTAGATTGTATGTTTTAAAAACTATTTGTTGATTTTAAAATATTAACCTGATTTTTCTGCATTTTTTTATTCAAGATTTGTCCTTTTTTTCAGAAGTTTGTATCTTTTTTTCGGATTTAGTTTTTCATGATTTTTAATTACATAAGTGTTACTTGGTTTTAATAAACTTTAGAATAAGATTTCCTAATAAATATTGCAAAAATCGAGAGAACAAGCACAACGCTGTAATAAAAAAGAACACCTTTTTTTCATTTTCAATAATAGCAAATTTTTGCATTTGTCTTGTAGTTTGCGCAGTTTTGCACAGTTTACAAAGGTTTGCGCGAAATTGTGCGGAAAGATTAAGATAATTTATTTTGTCATCATGTTCTTTTATTCCTTGTTGTTGAAATTTTCACAAACTTGTTGAGTGGAGTGCTCTTCGACATTTTCTAATGTTTGACTGGAACTGGAGCAGTTATACTGAAACACTAATCATATATATTCACAAAGAAAGAGTTTACAAGAAGATAAATGATAAAGAGTTTTGCGGTCAGAATTGCAAAATGAAATAATGATGCAATTTTGTATTAATTAATATTTTGCAAGGAAAAAATTGATAAGATGATCATTCAAAGCTAGGGGGTAAAATGATAAAATCAGAACCTAAAACTTTTTTAAAAACGTTTTTAATGTATGAGTTTTATCACTTATGTAGAAGTCATAGTTCAATTTAATTTAATTTTTGTGCATGCAAATATGCAGATTTAAAAAATTGAGTTGAATTTGCATATAATATATTATTTATTAAAATTTAAAATCCAGAATTTAATTAGTGATAAAAATATCTTATTGTCTTCATCCCTATCACGATAGATTTTTTTTATTCATAACTTAAAAACGGTTTTTTTAAACACGTGTTTCTTTTCTTTTCAACCTCAAAGCTACGATCAAATTTTGGAAAACAAATTTTTTTGAAGCATAAGGTAAAGGACAATTAAAAGGCTGGTCGGTGTTTAAAAAAATCAAAATAGTTCATATCTTTGTTAATAATTGATTAAACTACATATCCAAAATTTACTAAAGTCTTTCAATCTATTTTATCAGTTGAGGGTTCTAACCAGGGAGGATGATAGTTCTCTACCTGTGTGCTCAGTTATAGCTGTACTGTACACTTACAACTGTTTACTAACATTGATATACTATAGGTTAGGCCAGAATCAACTTATAATAAACAAATATGCAGTACGCTCTCGGTATAGTTTATGGCCTATAAAATTAGTAATGGATTAGCGTACATCATCACTCTACACACTATAACCACTATAACCTCGTTGGTTCTAACTAGAGTTTGATAAAGAAACGTGATGTATATATATGTTTACAGCTTTAGGTTTGCGGATTTCCATGGCCGGGGGAAAATATTTTCCCGGATTTCAGGGATTTAATTCCCCCGTGGACTCAAACAGAAGATTCATCAAAACATAGAAAACCATGGATCAATAAAGAGTATATATATATATATGTATATATATATATATGCTGGGTGTTCCAGTAAACATTAAAAGAAGTTCGTAAAATCAGATCTGATAGTTCATAGATAATAATCATAATATTTCCTGAATTCTGGTATTTCCTAAATGTAGTCCGGTGTTTTCCCATGATACCAAATAAAAATTAATGTCAATGTCAACATTTAACGCACATGCTATAATATTTTCTTGCCACTTTTTTCGGACCTCTCTGTGAATATTTTACTGCAGAAGAATAATGGGATTGAATGATAGATAGGCTCAGAGAGATCAAAATAACTTGAATCAAAATACAGAAATCTAACTCTTTGGGAGATATTTACCAGTTATTTTCCTGCTGCTGCTATTTTACTGATTTTTTGTATTTTTTTCATGTTTTGCCTCATTTTCTCATTTTCAACAATTTTTAAGGAAAACAAAAGATTTGCAACATCATGTTTACGAGGAATTCAATACATTAACTTAAAAAGATTTCCAGTTTTGCTGAACATAAAAGACAATTTTTTTAAAAATTGTCTTTTATGCGAAAGAATTAACAGTTTATTAGATGGAGTACGAATATAGAAGCCGAAATTCCATCAACAAAGAAAATTCTCCAAAATGAGCGTAAGATGACGCACGCTAAAGCTAGTTATGGGGTAATATCCGTTAATAAAAACGTATACAACCATTGGGAAAATTTGTGCATTTTTTCCATTCCAAAGCTTTTTTTGAAATATTTCTTAGTTTTGGGAAATTTAAAACCAAAAACATCTGATCAGATGGCTAGAACAGGATAATGATCGAATCGAAAAATTACAAAAGAAACCAGTATTAATTAAAACCATGTTTGTTTTACATAATAAATAAAATCGATATCGTTTTAAGATATTTTTATTGAAGAAACGAAAAATAAATACATTCAAGATAATTTATGAATGTTTTGTTTAAAGTTTTGAAATTGCGGAGAAGTATCCAGATCTGCTGACAGGATAACAAAAGAACACTCCAGCAGGACCCCGAACAGTTCTATAAATATGAAGACGACATAAAACGTAAAAAAGAAGACGACATTTTTAATAGTGAAATTGAAGATGACAGAAAAATAACTGATAGCTAATCATAATGGAAGCCAAATTTGAGATAAAAAAGAACATTTGGTTAAAACTGAGTACAAAGGAAAATAAATTTTAAAAAAAGATACTTTAAACAGGGTTTAAACTCTTTTATCAGGCATAAGATTCACATAATTACAATCATTTAAGTTCTTTGAGAATAAAAAATAAGAAACACAGACGACTTTCAATCTTGTTTACATGGCTGTGCACTGTACAGGAAAAGAAATTTGAATAAAAGAAAGAAGGTCCTAAATGTTTACATTAAAAGAACTGAATATGATTGAACTAATTTAACGGAAGTACATATATTAAAGGAAGTATATAAATAAAAGACAGCCTGCATGAAGGAAAGCATACAAATTAAAGAAAACATAAAAATTAAAGGATGTAATAATAAAAGGGAAACCCTGTAGTATAAAGAGGAAGATACATTATTATAAAAGGAAGTATGTAAATATAAGGAAGTATATAAATATAAGGAAGTATATAAATATAAGGAAGTATATTAATATAAGGAAGTATATTAATATAAGGAAGTATATAAATATAAGGAAGTATATAAATATAAGGAAGTATATAAATATAAGAAAGTATATAAATATAAGGAAGTATATAAATATAAGGAAGTATATAAATATAAGGAAGTACAGGGTGTCCCAATAAACATTGGAATTGAGTGACGAATTCGATATCGTCTTTTTAAATAATTCTTTGATTTAGTATAGTGATACCTACTGGGAAAGCTGTAATCTGTAAGAGTTCCGTCTGCTATGTTCACATTTTGTTTGTTTTTGTTTTGACTGCATACGGTAACACGGTTGTACTTAGTAAAACAAGAAAATTGCAGTATACAAACCGAGTAGACTTGTCCGTCTTCACTGTTCTTCTTGAAATAAACTCTAGCAGACATAATAATTTTATGGCTTTTAAAATTAGGTATTACAATGCTTATTTATAACAAAGACGATATCGAATTCGTCACTGAATTCCCATGTTTTTTGGGACACCCTTTATATAAATATAAGAAAGTATATAAATATAAGAAAGTATATAAATATAAGGAAGTATATTAATAAAAGGAAGTATATAAATATAAGGAAGTATGTAAATATAAGGAAGTATATAAATATTTATATAAATATAAGAAAGTATATAAATATAAGAAAGTATATAAATATAAGGAAGTATATAAATATAAGGAAGTATATAAATATAACAAAGTATATAAATATAAGGAAGTATATTTATGAAATGAACTAGAAATGAAAGTAAATACAAGAAAAAAAGTGTTAATGAAAAGCAAAAAAATAATTAAAATATCCCGACCTAGTCCCTACTAAAGATTTGTAGAATGAAGTCCTAAGTGTAGGTTCAGGAGTATACGATTTTCCTTTCTCTAAACTAAACCTAGCCCTTTCCAGATCCTTTCTTATAGCACTGAAAGTAGATAATAAAAATATAAGGAAGTATATTAATATAAGGAAGTATATAAATATAAGGAAGTATATAAATATAAGGAAGTACAGGGTGTCCCAATTTATGGCCTATAAAATTAGTAATGGATTAGCGTACATCATCACTCTACACACTATAACCACTATAACCTCGTTGGTTCTAACTAGAGTTTGATAAAGAAACGTGATGTATATATATGTTTACAGCTTTAGGTTTGCGGATTTCCATGGCCGGGGGAAAATATTTTCCCGGATTTCAGGGATTTAATTCCCCCNTTTATAAGTTGATTTAGTTCTTTAATCTTCCTTTATGATTTATAAATTGATTTAGTTCTTTAATCTGCATTAACGATTTATAAATTGATTTAGTTCTTTAATCTTCATTAACGATTTATAAATTGATTGATTATTAAGATAACATCTTAGAGCATAATATAAAACAAACGAAAGAGCAAGGATAATTCACCAAGAACCTACACATCTGCCGTACACAAGTAAACAGACTTGTCAATGCGAGTTATGCATTCCTTTTTTGTAAGCAATGTTTAATGTGCACATTCCATATGTACATTACGTAAGACTAACTATAAAGCGATGTTACATTCTGTCTCTGTCAGTCATAGTTTGATCCCTAACTGAAATCCGCCGAAACAAGTATAAAAACTTTAAGCTTAATAATCAACATATATATATATATTTCAACAAAAAGGAATTAGTTAGCAAGTACGAAAAATCTTTTTTCAAGGGGTGAAATGGGTTTCAAAACTTAAGGCACACAGCCTTTTCGACTCGGAAGCCTAATTCTACAGTGATATATGCATGATGCAATATAATTCCTAGCCGCAGTGACATTTGTTTCAATTTTTTGTTCACAGAAGACGTCCTTACTCTCTATTCCTCAAACAATGATTTGAATGGGAGACATAGAAACTAAATTTAATAGTCTAACATTTTTTAACATATATTTCATACTTTCAAAAGCGCACTTCTGTTTCAAAAATATTAAATGTGGTGGTTTGATATTTTACGAACTAATATATGATTTTCTCTTTCTTAGATTAGATTCCTCCAACAATCGATTTCAATATTAACAATTACAGAAATAATTATTAGATTTGATGAGTCCGATTCCATATTATTTTTTTGCGTAGAATTACTTTACATAAAAAAATATCATTTGATTAAACCGTTTGAAAGTGAATGTGCAATGTTGACATAATTGAAATTAAACTAAGAAAATCCTATAGCTAGCCATTTCATAAGAACATGATAAAGGTTTAGCACAAATTTGGAGCCAATTTGTTTAGACATTTAGACTAGTAAACATTAGACTCGACATTTAGACTGTTTTTGGAACAAACTACTTAACATTAGACTCGAATAATATAAACAAACTAGCTTGGAAACCCAGCTTTGCTCGGAATCTGGAATTTCGCTTTTTAAACATGTGACCCCACTTAACTTAGAAATGTTAAACCAAGACATAAGAAAATTCCCGTGGTTCTACCAAGTTCCTCAACCAAAATTTACGGATAATCGGTAANTACCCTTCTATCCCTAGCTCAAGTTTAGAATAGTTGAAATTATAGAGTTGAAAATATTCCTATTTGCATATATATATATATATATAAATACTAAGTTCTTAAATTCAGTGTATTGCTTGGTGTCTGTGCGCAAGTTTAAGAAAGGATACAACAGTACAATATCTACATAAATATGGATACAGGTATAAAACTGTGAAATAGGAAGACGACATTCATAAAATTTTAAAGCAAAGAAGTATCCAAGTACAGTGCCTATTTGTTTCATGCTCATTGAACCATTTAAAATTTAAAAAATCTAAGAATTGAATTAAAAAAAAAGAAATATGTGAAAAACATTTTTATTAAAGATCTGCACAAGCATTCCAGAAGGTCTGGAAGCTACCTGAGACAACAGGAGAAATGAACCAGGGCTGAAAACTTTTGAATGAACGGGATGAGTTAAAAACTTGTTTCAAATCAGTGAAAGAAAGGAATTGAGTCTTAGCCGCAAAACTCTGTATTCTAATCCCTATATCTTTGTTACCTGTAGTTTTTAGATATTTCAAACTTTTAATTCTGTTAGAATCAAATATTCTTTAGTTTGAAATATATATGGTTTACACCATCAGGTTCCTAAAATAAAGGGAATCATTGGAAAATTTGAGTTTGTGGCAAAGACATATAATTCCTTTGAGGCTCTTTCTCCTTTACCGTTACGTAATTTAACCAAAGGATATGAATCTTATATAATGTACCATGCTTGTAAAGCTAATAAGTTAAACTCTAAACTTCAAAAGTGTCAATCATGTCCAGCTTAAATAACAGCTTAAATCCATTTAATTCAAAAGTTCCCGGTTTAGGACACCGAAAATCAAATCATGATCCCAAGGTGAAAACTTTATTAAAATCTTTTTTTAAAAAGATTTTAAAAAACTTAATGTCAGGTGTGGGAACCCAGATATCGGGGACAGGCTGCCACGGCTTAGAAAACACGGAGAAATACTGACATACAGGGAATTATTTCTATAAAAAAAGTGAAAACAAAATATCATGACATAATTACATTTTTATTGATAAGGTTAATTCATAAATCATAAAAACCCACCCATTTGGCCTTTTAATTTAGATAATCAAATAATATTCTAAAATCACTCTTTTGGTTAATTGCAAGTTGGATATAATTTGTTGATTATTATACTTATCCATAAAAACTATGAGTAGTTCCTAGAATTGATTAGAAAAGAAAACCAATTTCAAGTTTTTTTTACAGTAGCAATCCTTTTGAAATTATGAATGCTATCATTTATGATTTATGCCGAATATTTTAGCGGATATTTTACAAAATTATGCCAAATATTTTAGCAGATATTTTACCAAATTATGCCGAATATTTTAGCGGATATTTTACCAAATTATGCCGAATATTTAAGCAGATATTTTACCAAATTATACCAAATATTTTAGCGTATATTTAACCAAATTATGGCGAATATTTTAGCGAACATTTTGCCAAATTATGCCGAATATATTAACGGATATTTTACCAAATTATACCGAATATTTTAGCGGATATTTTACCAAATTATGCTCTTCTATCCCTAGCTCAAGTTAAACAAATATTCTCACAAGCTGCAAACAAGGTAAGTATATATAATTTAACAAGTGTACACTCTGAGAACCAGAAAACTCTGAAATAGAAAAATGTCTTTTAGACTCTAGATGTTTATGAACAGAGACTTGTATCAATTGAGGAGTTTAAACAGACCCATTTCAATTGATTAGAGCATCTCGTAAAACTATTTGATTCGACGTCAAATACACTTTAGTTTTTCTATAATATCGTATTCCTTTTCCAGTGTTTTCTGGTTATTATTGAACTTCAAATTGTTTTTATTTTATTTTCAAATGTGAATACCAATGAGAGATTGATTTAGCTCTACTTGTGAGCAAGATTTCCATAGATTGATTTGAATATTTTTGTTCATGGACAATATGAAAGCCGAAATGAAAAAGATATGGATTTTCCCGGACCAAAGCTTATTCAGTGTTTTTTATCTCAAAAATAGAATAACGTTAATATTGTTTTTTTTTGCGACTTTTTGTATACAAAATTGGCTACTTTCTATGACTATTTTTTTCGGTTATAAATTTGATATTTGTCTGACAACCTTTAATCAAAATCTAGAGATATAAATAAGTTACTATTTTAAAGTTTAACAAACGATTATTAGTAAAAGAAAAGAATTGAGATGATAAATGAGTAGACTGAAGAAATTCATCCTCTCCTTTATTCAAAACTCATTTATCTCTTTTTTTTCTGCAAGACCTTTTTCCATTTTATGTATTTTTCAAGAAACCCCAATTCTTCAGTTCTATTATTTTATCTTTATGTAGTGGTCGGATACAGGGATTCTGATGAAAAGTGTTGATTCGAACAGAAACCCCGAAATAAAAATACAATTTTGTGATTTCTCCGTTTGCGCTTCTGATGGTAATCAGGTAATTCATTATTTATTTCATTTTAAACATTTTTTTTAACCTAACCTTTGATATTTCTAACTATGAATTCTGCTAGAATTGATAAATAGCAAGGACTAGTTGAACCACTTCTCTTCAGAAAGGGTGTTCGCACACATATGTTGGGTCTCGCGCTGGTTCAACTATGTCACAACATTCATTAAATTTGGTCTCAGGCTTTAAAGATACATAGGAATTTAAGACTATTTGAGTGTGTGGAAATAGCTTACTTCCTTTCTTAAACTTTTGTTTGAAATGTTCAAGATGGATGCTGAATTATTTGGTTTGGAAGGAGGAGAGTTGGCAACAACACGTGTTAAGGGAGATACTACCTGGATACTTTTTGACGACAGAAGGTATAATAGTATAATAGTAATAACCAGAGCTTAAATAACTAAAAATTTATGTTTTAGTACAGTATGAGGCATGCCCATAACACTGTAGAATAAAAAACGACCTTCAGAAACAAGTTATTTACAGAAAATAAAAATAAGATTGCTGAAATGGCGTCTTTCTATTCTACTGTTTTAGGGTCTAACTTTCCAGGAAAATAATTTCGTTCATGGCATTCTCCCCAAATCCGAATTTTTCTCAAAGGAATTGAGTTTTTGTCCCACACTCTGATTTGCTTATCCCTAACTTTGCAATTCAATGTTGGAGGCCTTAAATATTTCAAACTATGAATTCTTTTAGATCAAATATTGATAGCTTAGGTTTACACCATCAGGTTGCAAAGATGTAGGGATTAGAAAATCAAAATTTGTGACAAAAACTCAGTTCCTTTACAAAATTTCTCTAAAGTATATGAGGAGGCACGATATACTTGAACAAATTCTGTCATTTAGAAAAGGTTTATTCTGAAAAATCGTCACTTGACCTCAAACTGAAAACTTTTAATTGGACCAAATGAGTTTATAACATGTGACAAGCCTGTCACATGTTATAATATTTTAATAATATCCGAAGTTTGTCCAAAGTTAGCATATCTGAAATAGAATAGTTTTAATTTACTTTTAGATTTTGGGGAGGAGAATCCAGTCTTGCTCGTCTTCAATATTCAAACCTGAACCTTCAGACCCATCTTCTTCAGGTGAGGCAAACAATATTTTTTATATCATTTTCGCGGATATTGAAACGGTTTTGCGAATTTTGGACATTCCGAAATTTTCGGTAATACCCCTAAATACTATACAGAGTGTCATAAAAAACATGGGAATTCAGTGACGAATTGGATATCGTCTTTGTTATTAATTAGCATTGTAATTCCTAATTTCAAAAGCCATAATATTATTATGTCTGCTAGAGTTTATTTTATAAAAACGGTAAAAGACTGTTAAGATGTGTCTATAATGTCTACAAAAGATGAACAGTGAAGTAGGGCAAGTTTACTCTGTTTGTATATACTGTAATTTTCTTGTTTTACTAAATACAATCGTATACATTAAAAACATAAACAACCTAAATGTAAACATAGCAGACGAAACTCTTACAGATTACAGCTTTCTCAGTAGATATCACTTTACTGAATCAAAGAATTATTGAAAAAGACGATATCGGATTCGTCACTAAATTCCCATGTTTATTGGGACACCCTGTACATGTCATGAAGCAGATCTTGATATATATATATGTATAAATATATAACATCAGTATAGTATATATTTATATATATATATAGATTTAAAAAAAAAATTTTATCAATTATACATCTAGGTTGCTACTCATCAGTTTGGTCACGTGATAGGGTTAGAACATTCAAACAATACTAATTCTATTATGAACCCGTTTTACACAGGTAGACTTAAAGATATTCATTTATACTTTTTGTAACTTTTCTCTTTTACCTATCAATCAATTTCACTTGACATAAATAGTTCTTCAGAAACTCTTCTGAACATCTACTTTCTAGCGCCTACATTTTTTACGCCTGATCTCACGTTTAAAATATTCAAAATTGTTCTTCAATTTCTCTTAATCTTTTTCAATTTTAAAGAAGATTATTTTTGATTACTTTTATTGCTTTGAATGCGCTTTAAAAGTGTCATTGGAACAAAAATCTCTTCAGAAAATTTAAACAAAAAAATAATATTGTTTGGAAGCAAATAAACATTTTTTTGAGCAATAGTAATTTTTAGATAAAGAAAACTAACTTGATAATAACTATTTCGTTTCAGAATGGCTGACTGAAGTATCTCCTAGTGAAGACGACATAAGAAAAATATCTTCTCGTCGACCGAAATCTAGTGCCGTCAACTTTATTACTTTTAATTAAAGAACCTTCTACGATGATTAAACAAATTTGAAATTTAAAACTTTTATTTTGGAAAAGTTATGTATCTATTTATATACGTAGAAATATGTCATTGTTTTCATTTTTACTATTATACTATACGCAGATTTTATTAATTTAATATAATATTGAATAGATTATAATTTGTAATAATCATATAGCTAGTAAAATAAATGTGAGTGGGCCGGGGAGAAAAAAAAATCTTTTTAAACGTCTAAACATTCAAATGAAAGCAAAACTAAGATAAATTTTCTTTTTTTCTTTAGTGTTTAATTAATTATTTTAATTCGATAAATAATACTTATAGATAATTTTTTCGTAAATAAATCTCAGTTATAGCTCAAAATTTGATATTTTATTTGTGAAGGCGACATTCACATAAAATTAATCTTTCTATAATATGATGTTGCTGCAATTGGTGTGTATAACTAGATAAATTCAAGAGATTAACTTAGATTCGGTTAATTACCCTAGTTATCATTATATTGCAGGGATATAGGATAAAGCTGGGGATACATTACAGATTTCAGCTAATCAGGAAATATCATTATTCAACTGCACTGCAGTCTGCAGAGACCACTGCACTAGACCTGGGCAACGAACACAAGTTTTTAGAAAATAAATTACCACTCTTAACTAACAATACAATAACTTCAGTCAGTGTACTGCAAATTACTTCAAAACGTACTGAAAGCAGTTGAGGGTGTTACGTTAACGAACCAAAGAAAGTAGCTAACGGACAATTTCATTATAATATATAATGATGTAGTTATAAAGTAATTATAATCTATGTTTTTTATTTGGGGAACTCGGTTGAACCACGGGAATGTTTTTAAACTTCCGAGTTGAACAGGATTCAATTGTATCGATTTTATTTTAATCAAAAACACCCTTTAAAAGTGCTAACTGCAGGGATCTGCAGTACTTAACAACCGAAGAATTGGTGGAGTTACGTTGATTTAACTAAACGTTAATAACCGAATAAAAAAAGATTATAAGATTCTCAGCTCTATAATGCGAGGGAAAGAAGGCTAGTCACAACAATTTCTCGTTCTATGTCCTTGCCATGCATCTCGAAATTCTTGCCCTTCCCAAATTATTTTTTAAGTTTCCAATCCTTGAAGGTTACTAATTTTTTATAATCTGGCCTTGTTAGGGCATAATTAAATTATATTTGTTTAACCCTATTTAGCCTGATGTCTGGATTACTGATCGACTGGCTGCCTGTGAGGAGTGGGGGGGGGGTAAAATTGCCCCCCCCCCTCTATTTTCTTATTGTGACACAGATCTATAACATTTGATAAGTTTTTGGAAAGCCCTTGGGCTCTACTTTAGTAATCTGCAAAAAAATGGCAAATTTGCAAAAATCCAAATATTTATTGCAAAATCTAGAAATTAAGCAAAATATGCGCAAACAAAAAATTGCAACAAATTATACATTTCTGAAAAGCCCTTCACCAAGCGAATTTAGATTTACAAAAACATTTGAAAAATTTTTGAAATCTTAATGTGTATTCAAGAAAAACTGAAAATGTATAAATTTCCATTTAAAAATCTGTGCAAAATTTCATGCACAAGTTGTGCAATATCCCTGTTTTTGTTATAGGCTTTCCAAAGAGCAATCCACTGATTGGAAGTAGGTCTAAATAAAGATTTAGTCTGGTATAGGTAAAAAGACATTTAGTAGTGTGCCTGAAAAGTCAAGCAGTATGTATAAAAGCTCAGCAATTTTAGCCTTATGCGAGGGGCTTGTGTTAGTTAGAAAAGGCAGAAAATTTGAGCTTCCTACCTCAAATACTTATGCAGAGGAGATTTAGTTTTAACCTTAATAATGAAGTTTGACATCATTCTCTTTGGTTAAAAATGATGTAATCATTGCAATGCTTTTCTTCTGATCCATATTTATAACATATAGCGTGGCCAGATTTTATAAATAACATTATAATGGCAGGACAATGATTTCAAAATAGCTCGAACGAGAAAATTAGGAGAATGTGGCTCGGACGAGAAATTGTGGCTGGCCTTCTGCCCGCATGCTGCACCATGCAAAATAAAATTCCATTCACTGATACTTCCACTTTGTGACAAAGAACAGATGAAAATTTCTGTAAAAGACTAAATTTTACAGAGCTTTAATTAAATTAAAAAGCTAAGCCTTTATGCTAAGCTTTTCATTATAGGGGCGATAATGGCTCTATTTTTCTTATTTCAAAAATGTTATGAAATTAAGACAAATGTTGAAAGAAAAAAATCATTTTTTACATGGTGTCATCAATATTTTATTAATGGAGAAAAAAAATTTAACAGCAAATTAACTCGTTTTCAAAAGCTTCTTGGAAAATAAACAGTTTTGAAATGATGAGAGACAAAATTCGAAAAGTACTGCTTTATTTTGCTTTGTTTGTTGGCTTACCTTTCCCCCGGCTGAAAAGGAGTTTTCTCCACGTATCCGTGTCTCTGGTATTTCATCGCAGTCAGAGATGAAATCTGGGGCCATGTCCAGTTATATCCAGAACTAGATAGATAAATAAACCAGTCATATCCAGAACTAGTTAGGTAGATAAACCATTTATATCCAGAACTAGATAGATAGATAAACTATTTATATCTAGATCTATACAGTTAGATTAACCAATTATATCCAGAACTAGATAGATAGATAAACCAGTTATATCCAGAACTAGATAGATAGATTAATCAGTTATATCCATAAGAAGATAGATAAATAAAACAGTTATATCCAGAACTAGATAGATAGATAAACAAGTTGTATGCAGAACTAGATAGATAGATAAACCAGTTATATCCAGAACTAGATAGATATAATTAAGAACAATTTTAATTACAGGAACAATTTTTAGATCACTACAAATGTTTAAAAAGTTCAGCCCCCTGATACAAGTTGTATTTGTTTACCTTTTTTTTTAATACTCATTGAAACAATGTGAATTTCTTTTCTTGTTTGTAAAGTTAAAATTGGAACTTTTAATGGAGATTGTTTAAAAGTTTTCTTTTTAGATCGAGCACACATTATACTTTTCAACATTTTGTTTAACTTGTCTTCGCCTTTTAACAGGTTAACCCTATAAATAATCTATGTATAGAAAGGGGGGGGGGAGTCCCACGCCCCGCCTTGAAAAAAGTTGTAGAGAATAGGTATTGGGTTGAAATGCGGGTTCATAGCCCAATTGTTCAAGGCAAGCTCATTGAAAAAAAATGGATCGATAACTTTAATAGTTTGGATGCTAGGGAGGGTTAAAATAAAATACCCAAAAAATTTAAAAAATATATTTTTGTTTAAAAATATAAAAGTATGACAAGTTTATACGTCCGTTTTTTAAGGGATTTCCAAAAATAGCTTTTAGATCTGTAGCTTTAGTCACTTTTTACCGCCCAGTTTATTAAAAGTAAAAATATTTCACGGTGATAGTGTTAAAAACGAGGCTGCTACAGTGTGACCCAATAAATCTGAAGAGGATATTTTAGGAATTTTATTTATGTAATGTTGTTTTACCGTACGCAAAACTGTTACCAGTAGCTTTGTTGTTTGACTGTGTACAATTATTGTGTTCCATGTGTATTGGCATATTTATATATCTTGAGTTTAAAAATCGTCTTCCTGTTTTACAGTTTTATAGTTTCGGCCCACTGGAATATATTGATAAGATGAAATTCATGAATTCATACAATTCATACAATTTTGCCAAGCTTTTAGCCTTAAGTGAGAAAATGTTTTAGTTATAAAAGCCAGAAAATTAGAGCTTCCTAGCTCAACTATTTTTTGAGTTATCGCAAAAAAAAGGTTAGGGGGTTAAATTGAGCCCCTCCCCCCAAGCCAAATAGGGTCTACAAACCATTTGTTTGATAAATAAATAGAAATCACGAATTTGTATTTTTAGATACATGCTTCCAGCTACCTCATATTGTTCAGGAGTTAGGTAAACAACTGGATAACTTACTGACAGTGTTGACAGTTTGAGAGATTTCATGAATTTTAACAATTTTTCTCAATTATCCCAGAATCCACAGAAAGCTGTGTACACTCTATATTTCCCGCATAATTGGGCGCTCAAGCGATGTAATTAAATTTTAATTTAATCTTTCTGTATAATCATGGAATGTACTTCATTACTTTAACTGGACTGATAAAATTATAATAATACATGCCAGATTAAAAGTTTAATTCAAAAATGTTCTAAATAAAATTTCAAACATGGAAAAACAACATAAATGGAATAAACAACAAAAAATCGCAAATTATAAAATATATTTTGCGCGATATATGCGTGGTAAAAATGAAATTAAACTTTTTACTAACAAAAGATTATCAAGCACAATAGGTGGCAACGAGAATTTATGTCAATTATGATTAACGTTGGATGTTGTGTAGTGTGAACGTTTTTTTGAGATTTGCATAAAACCTTAACCTTTTATTTTTTGAAAAACGATCGCTTCGTTATGAAAACGACGACTAAAAATAGAAAACGATACAATCGTTTTTTAAAAAGTTCGTTTTTATAAAACTCGTCGTTAATTGTTAACGGACTCAAGGACATCTGTAGCATTGAGTAGTTTTAAGAAAATATCACGAAGTTTTAGCTCCCCCACAATTGTTTAACTTTGTTGTAAGACGACATTAAATAAAGTTGCATGTAATATTTTTTTCAAAAAAGACCGTTTTTATAAAGTTCTCCGTTTTAAAGATCGTTAACATAATTGTCAATTATTTTTTTCAAAAACGATAGTTTTTTCAAGAGCGATCGTTTTATAAAAAACAATCGTATAAAAAGCGGTCGCAAATCGTTTGTATAAAAACGATCGTTTTCAAAAACGATCGTTATTCGTTTTCTAAAAGTTCTAAACGAGTGGATCGCTTTTAAAAACGATCGTTTTTTCTGAAAACGAAACGATCGTTTTTTAAAACGATTGAAAAACAAAACAAAAACAACCCTTTTTGCATTCCCAGAATGATGAAGTATAAAAGAGATTTTGAGGCTTTGGCATAATAATAATGTTTCAACTTCATTGTTAAAAATAA